TGACCCGCACCATGGTATCTCCCGCTGCCTCATGCACACGTGAAAGTGGGGCACTGAACACGGAAGAGACGGAGTAAGACTGGGAGCATTTGAATCGTGGTGCTGGAGAAGAACGCTGAAAGCACGGTGGACTGCTGAAAGGACAAGCGTGACTGTTTAGGGAGAAGTACGGCCAGTGTGTGCCACATGTGCCAGAGCGCCTTTGTGCTAACGTGCTGTCTGGAGAGGCCAGTCCCTGGGGAAGGACGCTAGGTTTGGTGAAGTCCAGAGTCACAAAAAAAGAGAAAGACCCTAAATGAGATGGACTGACAGCAGGGCTGCAACAGGGGGCTAAAGCACGGGGAGCAGGTGCGCATGCCCAGGACGGGCACTGTTTCGTTCCTTGTGCATACGACGGCTATGGGCTGGAACCGACTTGACGGCACCTAACAAGAAGCAGCAACTCTCGACAGGACACACTCCAACTGTTCCACAGGTCTTCGTGGAAGCAGAGAGCCTCATCTTTCTCCTAGGGAGTAGCCAGGGGGTTCAAACTGGTGGCCTTGCCATTAGCAGTCCAAGTCTTGACCAATTACAGCACCAAAAAAGTCTAAAAATGCTAAGAATCAGAATTTAGCAAAACTTTAAAAGGAAACAAAGCTGCTGTCGAGCCGATTCCCTCAGGTTGTCCCTCTGTGCTGCACGCTTCAGGTTCTCAAGGCTGTAACCTCACAAGGCTGAGATGCCTCTGGGCAGGTTTGAACTGCCAACCCTTTCCGTTAGCGGTTGAACGCTCATTCATGTGCAATACTCAGGGACTTGGAAAACACTAACAGCACAAACAGGGCTTATTACGGGAAGGTAAGAATGGTTCAAGAGGAAATTACCTCCTATAATTCTTTGCAGGAATACACTTTGAAAAGGAAAGATTCAGATAGGAACTGAAAATACAGGGAATCCAGGACGGATGAGCCCTGCAGGACCAGTGGTGTGAGTGGCAAAACAGGGAGGGTAAAGGGAGAATGGGTAGGAAAGAGGGAACCGATTACATGGAACTGTGTGTGACCTCC